ATGTCAGTGGTGGCTCCAGTTCTGTTCATGTCAGTTGTGTCTCCAATTCTATCTGTTTATGTCAGTGGTGGCTCCAGTTCTGTTTATGTCTGCTTACACTTTTTACTTCCGAGGCACACACTAAAGTCTTCCATGAGGACAACAGACTTAGCTATTCCCCCCAGAATTTCCAAGAGTCTCACCTGACATAGTTTCACAGCAGCATCTTCTTTGTGAATTATACCTTTAGTCAAGCTAAACTACGAGGCTTGAATTCGCTTTTCCTTCTATTACTGCTTCTGAATCCCCGCGTGGTGCAAACGGTTAACATGCTCAGCTGCTAAGCAAAAGGTTGGCAGTTTGGGTCCACCCAGAGTTGCTCAGAAGAAATGCCTGGCAATCTACTTCTAAAAACTCAGCCCTTGAAAACCCTGTGGGGCAGAGCTCTACTCTGACAAACATGAGGTCGCCACAAGTCAGGATCACATCAATGGCAATTGCCTCTGTGTCAGCATTTGCTTGAAATGTCTTTATCCAGCTGCTGTAATCAATCTTTCTGCTTCACTTGAGTTTAGATGCATTTCCTGTGAGTATTCAGAGATGGAGATCTTAGACAAAAATCAAGCTCACCGCTTAAGTCTGTTTTCTGCTCTAAGAAATTTCTGTTGTTTCTCGACCACCTTCTCTCCTTACCATTCTGCTCTCTCCTCTGAGAATTGAGTTTTCTAGGAAAACATACCCAAATGAACTCAGTTGCTGCAAACCTGAACAGAAAAATAACTCAGAAAAAATTTTTTAAAAATAAGAAAAACCTAACCACAAAGACCTTGTGGTTCTAGCCTCCAAATTCTTATATTTTATTAGTAGAGAAAATTAGTTCTTTGCCCTTTTGTACCATATTCTCAGAAAAGCCCATAATTCAATCTCTTGGTTCACTAAATCAGCCTTATATTTGTCCATTCCACAATTCAGCCTTTCTAGTAGATTTATTTCTCAATCATGTTTTTAATTTTCAATAATCCCAACTGGTCCTATTTCATAACAGCAGCCTATGGATATGTACTTACACTTTTTCTAAAAATACTCATTACTTTTTTAATGTTTTCTTCTCTTTCATGATTTAATGCTGTTTACTCGGGGCCTAGTTCTCCTCCTCCTGGAATGTGCTACATTTCTGTCTTGCTTTTCCTCAGTTTCTGATAAGAGTTTAAGCAGAACATCTTTGACAGGCAGAGTGTATTTCTCAATCTAAGCTTTTACTCCTATTCCTTTGGCAATAAATGTAGTTCTCATTTTCTGAAGGAGCCATGTGGTGCAGTGGTTAAAGTGCTCAGCTGCTAACCAAAAGGTCAGAGGTCTGAAACCATCAGCAGCTCCACAGGAGAAAGATGTGGCAGTCTGCTTCCATAGAGATTTACAGCCTTGGAAAACCCTATGGGGGTTGCTATGAGTTGGAATTGACTGGACAGCAGTGGGTTTGGTTTGGTTTTGGAACTGCACTTCAGAGCCCTGATGGTGCAGTGGTTAAAGCACTCAGCTGCTAACTGAAAGGTCGGTGGTTCAAATCTGCCAGATGACAGGTAGGAGAAAGTTGTGGCAGTCTGCTTCCTTAAAGATCTACAGCCTTGGAAACCCTATGTGGCAGTTCTACTGTCCTACAGGGTCACTATGAGTCTGAACTGACTGGATGATAATAGGATGGGATGGGTGAGACCATTTCCTGAAGCTGCAGCACCCTGCCCTGGGGGAGGGGGAGGGGAGGGTTTGCATGAAGTACATCTGCATCTTATTTCCTGGGAACAGGAGCTGCATTCCCTCAGAGCGGCAAGCATGACCCACTGTCTGGTCTGCACACCCACTCTGGCTGCCTCTCATGCCAGAGCTTCCACTTTAGAGAACTAAACTTTGGGCCACAGCTCGTGTGACAAATGCCAGAGACAGTTTCTGAAACCAGAAGTTGGCACGCTGTTCACCCCGTAATGAATTACCTGGAAAAACGCTGCTGGCCTGCTCCTGCTCCAGTCCCTGCCAGCCCGACCTGGGGCAAGAGGAAAGCTTGCTTTCTGAGGCTTGTTCTGTTCTCAGCCATCTCTGGTTGGTTTCACCACCAGCTGATAAGCGACTGCACTGTCTCCCTCACTAATCTCTACTGGTGGCCACCTTCCAGCTCTCTAGGAGAGTGACTTACTCAGGCAGTCATTTTAAATTAGAGCCAACCCAATACTGCTTCCGCCTAACTTGGAAATGTCCTTCAGAGGTCAAGTCTTCAAAAGAAGGGTCAAATATACACTCAGGGGAGGGGGTGGGAGGGCTGTTGTGAAGAGTACGGTTTGGGAGCAGCCAAATCCTAAAACAGTCAGTCCAGAAGAGAAGGCAATTAAATTCAACAGGTGACTGCTGGCTGGAAAAGCCAAATGCTGTTAGTTCTCTTTTCCTCTTGGCGACATCTGTTACTCAAAGTCTTACTTTCAGGACACTAAAGTAGGAAGAATAGAGTTGAAAGCACATGTAATTATAAATGAGTGATAGCAATAAATGGCAAATCAGTGCCCAGGCAATGAGAAGGTGTGAACTGTTAGTTTTACGCCAAGGAAATGAGGAACCCGTGCTCTGAATTTTCATAAGAAATTTTAAAGGAAGGGGAAAAAAGGTACAAGAGACTTCTGAAGAGACACTATGTACTTGTACAAAACAATTCAAGTGTTTTTTGTCATTTCCATGTGGAGGAAAAAAATCATATGAGTGAGATGAAAATGCCATTATTTATTTAAAATTTTATCTCCACAAAAAAAAAAAAAAAACTTATCAGGTAGGCAGCACAAAAATGTATAATCTGTTTTTAAAAGGGTGAACTAAAACACAAGGAAGGAAATAAACAGGCAAGGGTCACACAGTATTAATAAACAGAAATACAGACGGAGAAACTCCAACTTCTCAACTTTGAGGATCATGTGTTCCCAACTATAATACTATAATACACTCAGTAATAGAATGTGCATCGAAAACATTTATGTTTTGGCTTGCTCTACTGCTACTACTTGATTTTTCTTTGTAACTTTTGGCCTTCCCTAAATGCTTCTGTCTTTTGAAGATTTACTATAGGGCTTGGACTCTACTGGTTTCCGTCTGCCTTTAGCATCTTTTGTATCTTTGGTTATTGAAGACATTTACAAATGAACTTGATAAATTAAAACTTAAGGAAAATATCTATACTGAATATTATATCTCTAACTAGTTTTTCTTTCCCAAAAAGTATAGTTTTATGACTCTTTCATTCACTATGTTATTTTATAAGTACAAACTTACTTATGAAATATAGAAATGAGTCAAGACTAAGCTTTGACATTTTCCAATTACGTGATAGCAACACACAGCCCCCCAAACCACAGAAGTAACACATACAATTTAGCCAAAATTTGTAATATACTCACTTTTATCTATGCTTCCATATGAATCACTTGAAATTTGTGTTCCAATATGTCTCAACTCTAGAAACATACGGGGGAACAACAGTTAAAAAAACAAAACAAAACATATACACCCACACACAGACACACAGACACACAGAGACACAGACACACACACAGACACACACAGACACACAGACACACACACACAGCCTATCAAACAGTTTTAAAATAAGCATTAAGTGACTACTCACCCTTTTCATTTTTCTGTTTAGAAAATTCATCAAGTCTTTCCTGTTGAAAGAAAACATTAGTAATGTTTATAACGAAGAAGGAGTGCAGCCTCTCTAGACCACATGTAACCCTGGGCACCATAACAGATAGTGGCCACCGTTTCCTCTAGGCGGCTTCAGACATTAGTTGGGACACGTCGACATGTACAGAGAACGCTACGGGAGACCTGGAGCTAGGAATTCAAAATCCGTGCACATTGTTTTATCTGTTACCTGTGTCTTCTTAAATTCCTTTTCGAGTACTTTCTTTTCATTTCTCAGTTGCTTGAAGTCCTGAATTTGCTTGAAAGCAGCCTCTTTATTCAAGAGTAGAATGAAATAACAGAGAGAAAAATAATTTACCAACTTTACCACTACAGTTAATGAAATACTCAGTATCTCATCTATTCAAAGTTCTTATTTCTTAAGCTTTGAAACACATTTCATAAAAAGTTACGACTCCTTCACTATTTTATCAGAGTTACAGGACAAGAACACTTTCATTTTTAAACCACCAATTATAAAACCACAGAACGGGCAGAGGCCTAAAGAATCCACCCCAACGCAGGTACAGGCAACCCAAGCCATTCTAGTCAGGCAAGCACCCCGTGACAAAGACCCTCGGAGAGGGCGATGTCTGGTCTCCCTCGCTTGTCTCATGTATATGATCAGCAACCTTAGGTTTTAAAGATTTTAAAGAAATGTGATTTTTACCTCAGAATACAGTGAATACTATTCTCTTTATTTGGGGGAAAAAATAATCTTCTCTATGCTGACTACGGAGCCCTGGTGGTACAGTGGTTAAGAGCTCGGCTGCTAACCAAAATGTTGGCAGTTGAAATCCACCAGCCACCCCTTAGAAACCCTATGGGGCAGTTCTACTCTGTCCTATAGGGTTGCTATGAGTTGGAATCAACTTGATGACAACAGGTTTGGTTTCTTTTTCTCTGCTGACTACAAGAGCGCTGGTGGCGCAGTGGTTAAGTGCTCAGCTGCTAACCAAAAGGTCTGTGGTTCGAACCCATCATCCACTCCTCAGGAGAAAGATGTGACAGTCTGCTTCCAGTAAAGATTTACACCCTTGGAAGCCCTATGGAGCAGTCCTACTCTATCCTGCAGGGTCACTATGATCAGAGTCGATTCAACAGCAATGGCTTTGGTTTGGTAAGCTGACTATACATATTGCTACTCCTTTCTGGAATTCCCTTCTACAAGCGAACTAATCCTAATTCCTTCTGATCTCACTGTTTAAGAAATTTTTATAGCTCTTCGACAATTTATCCTGTTTTGGGCTCTAAATCACAAACCATTCAGATAAACTGTTAAGAATCTGAGCAGTGCTGACTTTAGACGAGTATGTTCAAATACACTTGCTCTGGGAAAATAATACCCTCAACACCCAAGTGGTCATCCTCTCCTCACACTTCTGAACGGGCTGGATTACTTCTTTACGTGACATCTATGCTAAACTTTCTACTAGGAAAAAGGCTGGTGTTCAATGGAAAACAGAGACTACACTCTGGCCGCGAAGGCTGTCTGTTCTGTAAGCTGTACGTAAGCTGACTGGTATTCCAGGGCTCTTTAAGATCACGTCCTTCAAGAACTCCACACACGAACAGGAGAAGGCTGGACCAGAAAAGAAGACAGTAATGTGGTTCTCACTGCCAGACTGTCAACATCTGTGCAGCGATCAAATCAAAACATCTAGAGCGTGAGTCTAAAAAATCCCAGGCAACTGGTATTCTGTTAAGTCCTGACCCAATTATTTACATTGTTATCCCACACTCTACATGCAAATAACCCAGTATCTGAAGTAGAGCACTGTCTGTAAGATAAAATAGCAAGTATCAGAGTCAGTAACCCAAAGGAGAAGGTCCTTAGGTGGCACAAACAGTTCACACTCAAGTACTAACCTCAAGGTTGGTGATTTGAACTCACTCAGAGGCACCATGGAAGAAATGGCCTGGCAATGTGCTTATGTAAAGATCACAGCCAACAAAACCCTATGGAGCAGTTCTACTCTGCAACACATGGGGTCACCATGAGTCAGAATCGACTCAACGGTAACGGGTTTATTCACTGATTTATTTTTTGGTTAGCCCATAGTAGATGAGAGAATTGCTACAGGCCAGGCTAAAATTAAAGTAAGAAGGGGTACAGGGATGGGTCTGGCAAAGCCCCAACTGTCTCTACTTGCTATTAGGTCCTGTCCCAATTTGCCAATGAAGAAGAAAAGAAAAAGAAGAGACCTTAAGTTCAATTCCTATGGATTCCTGAAAAGGTTATTAGCTGAAGTGGGAGGACTTAATAGATTCTTATACGGCCCCCTTGCACTCTGCCTAGTCACTGAAGACTAGATGACCCAAATAAAAGGAGGAGGTGTGTGAGAGGATCAAGTACAAGCGTGCCCAACTCCCATGTACGGAAACTCATTGGAATCTCTCTATGGATCTGTCATAACTACTGAAACGCATCAAGCTTCGGGACACTAAAAGCAGTAAGCTTTTCTAGTAACCACTTATTTCCCTAGGAAAAATGAGAACAGTCCATGAGATCCAACCTTCAAAATTAAATCCTTTCATTAGCTGCTACTTTTTGTAGCAAAAGTAGGCCATTGTTTTGAGGGCAACAACGTTTCAAGGATTTGCCATATTACATTTGCACGTCACCATCAGGAGAAAAGGCCTGGCAATCTACTTCTGAAAAGTTGGCTGTTGAAAACCCAATGGAGCACACATACATAGGGTGGTCATGAGTTAGAGTCAACTCGACGGCCACTAGGTTACGGGGTTATCCAGTAACAGGTGAGTGTAGGATTCAAACATTTTCCCAACAGAACTGTTAACACAGTCATAAAGGAATTCACCATTGAAAACTACACCCACTAAACTATTTGTTCAAATACTCTAAACTCAAATAGTTAAAAATGATTTGTGTAATTACAAATGACTTCCATTAGCCAAATAACAACAGCACCAATTACCTTCCAGCTTCTTCACCTTGGCTTCTAGTTTCTTCTTCCTAATAATTTCACAAGTTAAATGGTAAGAAATAGTATAACAGAAAAAATACATATATATGACAGTGCAATATGTGGTACACATTTTTTAAAATTTACTAAGATTTGTATAAAAAAATTTAGTCCCTACTAGCATCACCCATCAACTGAAATTTCCAGCAACCTAAGAAAAAACAGTACATCATTGTGTGCAGGATTTCTCAAATGGATTACAGAAATCGCTGTCATTTAAAGATGTCATGGACCTCCCAAGCTCTGCCATTCTACCTCTGAGACCTTAGTCAAGTCACTTAACTTCCTGAACCACAGTTACCCAACTATGAACAGAGCAGACGGACTCAGATCATCTCCAAGATTTAAGCCAGGGTCCAAGCCAGGGTCCATTTCACCTGTTACTTTTTAGAAGCACACAATTATCAACTATGCACACAGATTCACACTGAGTATGACATTCCTGTTCACACTGCGCTTTACAGAGGTGGTGGCTGGAGATTGCACGTGATTTAATATGGATTATTGAGAGTCCGAGAAATTTGGCAACTCTGGGAAAGACCTTCCAAGTTATTGCTTTATTATATCTACATTAAACTAAATTACTGGATACACAGCTCACAAGCTTGTTTTGTGATTAATGTTAACACAGTATTAAACCTCAAAAAAAAAAATCAATCAGATGCCTGAATGGCCTTTTTATTAATGGAAACAGACACACGTTGAATATGCTATCTGTTAAAATACTGGTACATAGAAAGGAGTCGATAACTATTCTTTTACATACAGACACCCATGCATACATACAGAGACATGAAAACTTCACCATGGAGTCTTTCTTTGTGCCAGACTTTTAACATATGATGGCTTATTTATTCCTCGTTACTCCTTCAAAGGAGTCCTAGGGGCGGAACAGGTTAGCAGTTCAAATTCACCCAGCAGCGATCTGCTCCCATAAAGACTGGAGCCTAGAAAACTCTATGGGGGCAGTTCTACTGTCACATGGGGTCACTATGAGTCGGTACCTAACACCACCACCACATATGTCTTCAAAATAGGTATTATTTCCATTTTATATATATGGAAACCAAGGGTGAGTGACAGACTAATTTAAGATCACACAGCTAATCATGGCTAACAAACCCCAAAACAGAGAAAAGACAAACACTACCGATGCATGGGTTATCCATTTTCAGAAATGAAAACCCTATTTCCATAGCCATTTTAAAACACTTACTGAGCGTCACTTTTCAAACATTCTTCTTTTACACGAGCATATTCCTGATGAGTTTCCTGATACAACTTAAGAGAACTCTAGAAAAGGAAAGATTATTATACAATCAGAGCTAGACAAAATACAATGCTGTGGTTGTTTGCTTAGACAATTTTCTCTGCATAGTTAAAACATGTAATAAAGAATTTCTATAGAAATAGAGAAATAAGTCACTTAAAATACGTGAGACCTCACACAATACATGTCAGTACTAAAAAGCACGATTTGAGCAAGACGTGAGGAGCAGACACTATTGCGAAAGACGCCCCGGGAACAGGCTGAGCATCCACTCAGCTTGGCTACGCCCCATCTCGCGCAAACCACCTAGCTCTGCTGCCTTCATTTCTTCATCTGTAAAGGCCATGATTCTAAGATTCCCACAAAGAGTAAAGCACAATTTATTCAAAAAACCGGTTTACAGCATTTAAACCAACTGTCTAACTGTCTTATCGCAGTTTGAGTGTGAAAAGGAGAGTCTGAAGGGATAAATTTCTCAGCATTTTCATGTTTGAAGTAGGCATCTTCCACCCAGTGCTTCATCTTGGCACGGCATCACTGAGAAGATCTAACACATCACCAACCGGGTAAAGGAAATCAACTCTCGTCTCAAAGCTTACTTACAAGAACATTTTTGAAGGCCTCTCATTTTGGGTATCTCTCACTGACAACGAAAAACCACAAGGAGCCAAACATTCATAATTATGAAAGAATATTAAGGAAAAAAAAAAAAACAAAGCTGGCAGGGTTATTAAGGTAAAAATGTACAGACACTGCTTAGAAGGAACATTGACTGGTGTATGAATTCTAAGAGCGGGTTATTTAAAGGCCATCTCAACTCAAACCCTTCTGTAAGGCAAACTGCACCAGGTGAGAGGCCCTGAGTGTTTTACTCACCACTGTTCTGCCCAAGGCTAGAGCTGTGCCTGCAGAATAAATAGTCTTTTTCCTCTCGATCACATCTGCCCCCTACACACACATACACACACACTCAGAAGCATACACACACAAGGATTTCTCTATCTTTAAGTGGGAATCTTTCCATGCAGCTCTATCCTTGTGGCAAGAAAAAAATTTGAAAAAACAAAGGGCTAACAATGCAGGGCACACAGAACCATAAAAATTCAGCTAAACGGTTCCTGTACCGAGCCTCTCAAAAAGCTACGCAACTGACACAGTACCACCTGGCTCACGACTACGGTGAGGACGAAGCCCCCATCTCCTGGTTCTCTGAGTACAGGAACACACCTGAAGACTCCTGAATAGGATTTACTTCTGTTGTTAATAAATAAAACTTCTCCTTGTCCCTGTTATACTAAATAAGCAGGTTCTAACTTACTGAACATAAACCTTGGTAGGAAAACAGCTTTAGGTACCTTTTTCTCCTCTAGTTCTGCTTTTAACGACCCCAGCTCTTCCTGACATTTCTGCAGAGGAGAAATTTTTTGAAGCATCTGTTCCACTTGGTGATGCAGGGTACTATTCTCTCTAAAAAGGGACAATGTGTTAACGTTATAATACAAAGGTATAGATAGTGAATTACCAAATATATCAATCTAGTGATTTTAGATTTTGTTTCTAACTTACAAAATAAAAGGAGTGAAAAAAAGACTTTCTCTTTATAAACCCACTTCCTCTATTAATACAACATGATCTTCAAATCGCTTTTTATTTCTGTGGCATTATAGTCTATATTTTAGTAAAAAAAAAAAAAGCAAATTGAGAGGCAATTACAGTAGATTCCAAATCTGCTAAAAACATATTAAAGAATGATTTGCCAAACAACCTGGCTCTTCCAATCATGAACTCATTCCCATTTATTCAAATTAAATAAGAGGTAATTTTGTGCTCTCAGATTATTATGTTTTACCTTTCTAAATGATAAATGTAATCAGAGAACGAAACATCACTAAAATTTTAAGTAAGTGTATTTATAAAATTGTTTAAAATAACACATGGTAAACACATTAAATAGCCCAATTCACATATATAATAACAATCTGATATCACTATGCTTCATCTGAATGGCAATGTGATCAGTAAGTTCATGAAAAGTAAAACACCAGGCTGTAATTGAAGACCACAGTAATAAATTCACTTGGACCATTTGATAGTAAGGAAAATGCAAACTTTCTTTTATCATGAGTATCAAAGCAGCATGAGGCATTTTACTTGAATATGTTAAAAAACCTCCCCTGATAAACATAAACCAACTACTCAAGTAAGTGCCGTTATTAACTGTTAAAATAGGTGGCTTACCTTCTTGCAAACTGCAGCTGTAAACCTCGTTAAGGAAAACTCTGAAAATTTTATCTACCGATAATTGTCTGGAGATAACGTTCACTTTAAAGTATCTGTAATAACCTATGTGTTCAACCTACATACAGACATGATCCTAAATCCTGGAAAACAATATTCAAAGCTCCATTTATAACACAGCAATAAGACTTTTTACTGAGTTATTCCTCTTTACCATAACATGTACCAAAAGCCAACACATCTATTTCTCTAAATTTAAAAAAAAAAAAGTCCTCTGTTTAAATATATTATTGATTAGGATTAAGTTAAATAGATAAAGAGAAAACAATATAAAACAAATGGAAAATATATTGCTTCATACTATATATGCCAGAATCCCCAAACAACCTATCATTCAATTCTCCAATAGTCCAGGGAAAATTTTCAGCAAACAAGAGTTATGTGCTCACTGAAACCACATATAACTGTACTTAAAGAGTAATGAGAAAAGAAATACAGGGAGACTATAAAATTGAGATAATCCTTCATTTTTACAATTGATACAATGTATACAATTTGATAACCTCATTTCTTATCTCATGCTCCCAGTAAGATGTTCTAACACAGCCCCGATAATACCTTTAAGTTTCTCTCCTATGAATTCCAATACTTATATCACAATACAGTAAATGTGTATACAAAATGTCCAGGCCCTCCTGTGTTAGAAGGTAAGCTTCTCAAGGTCAAGAACCATGTTTTATTCATCCTAAATTACAGCTGGCTTTACAACATAAAAAGGTTCAATTAACACCCAGTGAAATAATACACACTCCCTGCCCTTCAGAAAGAGGTGTTAATAATCATTAAAATGGCCAGAATTACACACAAAAAAGTAAAGAGCTAAAATAAAAATACTAATTATCATAGTGCACTTACTGAAGAACTAGCTTCCCCATCTTGATAAAAAGGAGAAAATCGACTGCTATTTCAGTAGCAAAAGGAACCACGTATGTAATTAAACCGTTTTAAAGCTGTGACACTGATGACCGAGCTGTGGAGCAAACTACTGCACACTCGGGATTAAACAAATAGACGCCTGGGGCAGATGTCAAATGTGTCACCAATCAGAGCAGCTACGGCCAAAGACAGTATCACATCATAGAATGAACTTCTGAAATTCAAGAATAATCAAAAATTGTTTACCAATTAAAAAAAATTATTTTGGTAATTTTTTTTTTTTATTTGTTTGCGGCCAAATTTTAAAAGAGTGAAACAATGTCCTTGCTAGATTACATTCATAATTACTTAAAAAGCTGACACCATTTCCTCTCAAAGGATACAATGAACATGCTCTGAATACTGGAATTAACTGCCCTTTAATCCCCCTGCTTATTTAAAAGTAGTTGCAATAATTGTTTTTGTAGTAAAATTATCAGCTTTCACAATCATCAATTACTCAATTATTCTTACAATAATATACAATTTAATCATAAAGTTAAATGGATCAACAGTTCAACAAATAAAGCACATGAGATTTTCAATGACCTATTATTTCTAAATGTGGAAGTTTAGATACTAAAATCAAATCTAATGGCACGCCTTGATCTATTATGTTACTCTGAGAGCACAAATTAGAAACGATGGTGACAACAGAAACAAATCCTAAGCGATCGAGCTCAGGGACATCAGAAACACCACTGAAGCAGTCCTTAGGCTCCTGCAAAGTTAAACTGCGAATCTGACCCAATCAAGAAGCTACGGCGGAACTTCAGGAAATCCCTAAAATGTAGAGGTGTTTTATTTTAATGGGAGAATTTTTATATTTTTATGTGATAAATTTAATTCACAGTAAAGATGATCACGACAAGACATTAAACTACCGATTAGAGTCATTTTTTTTTTTAACCTGCCAAGAAAATATTTAACACAGGCTGACTACACTACTAGTGCCCCCTAAATGGTTACCAGAAGGCGGAACTGTCTGGTGAATGCCTAAGACTGTCTGTGAACATAACATTACACTGTTACATCTGTATGACTTTAGGTAGACACATAACATTACACTGTTTCTAGGTGACTCTGGATATACACAGAATTTCATGACAAATCACAAAAACCATTACTAAAAGTCAATTTCCCAACATTCTGAATAATGTTACTAATGGCCTTCTTGCAGAAACCCCAGCATAACACGCAGACAGCATCGTACTCAGCATTATGTTATTCCTGCACCTGAACAACCTGTGTCATTACAGGTGAGAAACACCTATCCATGACAAAGCCTGTGACTTTAAGAAAACAGAATCAATGACAAAAGCAACATTAAGAATTTTTTAATGCTGGGCTCCACTGTTCCAGCTGTCTCCGTTTCAGAGCTCATCATATTTACTGAAAACGTAAAAGAACTAGCTGCTCTCTGCACTTACGAGAACTGCTACTTACATGAATATCAGCCTCCAGGAGACACCTATGGAACAAACTCCCCTCCCATTTAAGCAATTACAAATAATTAATAAATTCAAAAGAAAAAGCCAGTAAAAAGGATATCATCACATTTCTTCTGATATTCTGTTAACAAATTACTGTAACAAAGAAAAGAATCAGGTTACTTTGCAAACCTAGAAAATATACTATGTTAAAATCATGTTTCAAAACATGCAAGGCACACTCCCTTCTTAGGTTTCCTGCAACAAATATATTCTGACTATGTCTTGGGCTGAGCTCACAAGTAGTTTTATTCTAATCAGCACCATGGAGGCACCCAGAAAGGAAACTGGAGGTCTCATTTCAGCCTTAGGGGCCTAAAACCATCACCTGCTTATGCTAGTTTGTTAGGTTTACAAAGTTCTATGAAACACATGCAAATATACTTACTCTGTATTAATAATCTTTTGCTTCAAGGTAATTAATGCATCAACATATTCATTTAAATTCTGGAAGAAAAAAGCTGCAGTCAGCCATTTGTGTTTCTGTAACATATAATTACTTTATGTAACTATGTTATTTACAATAAAACATGGACATACTGTTCAATGCATTACATAAACATCTTAGGAGTCGTGGAGTTGGTTCATAGAGACCCCACGGACAACAGAACGAAACACTGCCCTGCCCTGCGCCATCCTCACAATCGCTGCTATGTTTGAACCCACGGGTGCAGCCACCGAGTCAATCCATCTCGTTGAGGGTCTTCCTCTTTCTCACTGACCTTCTACTTTAGCTAGCATGATGTCCGTCTCCAGGGACTGGCCCCTCCTGATAACATGTCCAAAGAACCAGTGGCACAGCTTCCGCGTCACAGCAACACACAAGCCACCACAGTACAACAAACTGACAGATGAGTGCTGGTGCATAAACATCAAAACCAACCCCCCAAAAAACAAAACACCAAATCCACTGTCGTTGAGTCGATTCCAACTTAGAGCGACCCTAGAGGACAGAGTAGAACTGCCCCACAGGGTTTCCAAGGAGCGGCTGATGGATTCCAACTGCCGACCTTTGGGTTAGCAGCCAAGCTCTCAACCGCTGTTCCACCAGGGCTCCACAGAACTATGTCAACAGGGACAGATTACCAATGAGCAAGGTATACACAGGCTTAACTGTGTTTACTTACCAATCTGTAGTGTACAATTTCACTGGTTTTTCACATTGACGATGTGGTGAAACCCATGCAAAACTGCATACTAAAAGCTTAGGAAGTAAGCAAAATTAAGCCCGTGCGTATCTTGCGTACTGTAAGCCGGTGCAGACTGTGCTGCCTGGTTAATCAGCCCCTGGGTGACCATCTACTCTTTGTGCTCTGCATACAGCACACACGTGAGCTCTCGCTAAGTCTCTGGGTGATGGCACTCCTCCAACAGCCAGGAGCTGTAAAGATGCTCAGCCAACTGACTGTTCAGCACCATGGTGTTCACCCGGCATAGTTTCTGAAAGGATTGAAGACTACCCAAAGAGACACACAAGAAAATAATAAAAGTAACATGGGGTAAGAATAGGAATACTAAAACGGGGCCCAGATTATAAGGTTAAGCACTACTACTAACTTAAAGGTTGGTGGTTCAAGCCCACCCACAGGTGCCAGACAGGCCTGGTGAGATCTGCTTCCAAAACACCACGGCCTCCAAAACCCTGTGGAGCAGCTCTATTCTGCACACATGGGGTCACTGTGAGTCGGATTCAACTTGACAGCACTAACAACAACATATTATACTTTAGGGACCCACTAAATTTGACTCTAAATAACTGCAACAATTTGAAAGAGAAAACATGGTTAGTTACAAGATTCAAATGTTCCTAAGATTTCAAAACAAGCTGATTTTTTTTTTCTGTTTAACTGGCTTTCCTTTAACGTCTCCTTTCTTTATCAGTAAATACCTCAGAATGTATCTCTAACAAATGACCCATCACCATCTAGTCGATTCTGACTCACGACAACCGTACAGGACAGAGTAGAACTGCCCTATAGGGTTTGCAAGGAGTACCAGGTGGATTCGAACTGCCGACCTTTTGGTTAGCAGCCGAGCTCTTAACCACTGTGCCACCAGGGCTCCATTCTAACAAATAAGGACTTTTTAAGAAACAATCACAATAATCTTTTCACACTCAACAATAATTCATTAAAATCCAGACTGTGCTCAACTGTTACTGACTATCTGAAGAGAATTTTTTTCCTATGTAACCCAAGTGACTCTGAGAAGCATTTTCCTTTATGGCAATATCTATATCTTCTTTGCAGTTATACATGTAGTTTATCTGTTAAAACAAAAACTCCACACATTTAAGTATCTAACTGTAATCCCATCACCCGTCAATAACCACTCTCAAGCTCCATCCTTTCAGAATTGTTACTGCATACGCATATATGTTTGGATGTACTCAAATTAACAATTTTCTGTTGAAGGACATTTAGTTTCTTGTCAAGTCTTTATTAACAGCTTGCAAGGAGTTTCCCTGTCTCCTCACTTGGGATTTTCCTGAGGATAAAGTCCAAGCAGCAGTGGTATGGACCAGAGAATGTACTTACACGTTCAACGCTGGCACACACTGGCAGTTACAATCCTCACCCACAGCTTCTGTGTCTCAGCTTCCAGCAGCCTCGCTGAGGCTCAGACACGTACGCTGTGGGTGACGACTGTAACTGATAGGAGCCCTGGTGGCACAGTGGTTAAGCGCTCAGCTGCAAACCGAAAGGTCAGCAGTTCAAATCCACCAGCTGCTACTTGGAAACCTTATGGGGCAGTTCTACTCTGTCCTATAGGGTCGCTATGAGTCGGAATCGACTCCACGGCAACAGTATTGGTGTGTTTTTTTTTGGTCACCCTTGATAACATGAGAGCAATATTTTTCATTCATAATTCATTATTAGTGAGGTCAAGGAATCTCCCTTATCTCTTCTGGCATTCATATTTTTTTTCTTTTATTAAAAGCTGGTTAATGCCATTTGCGCAACTACGTTAACTGATTTCACTATGTGAAAATTTTTAAACTTCTGTGTGGCACTGGACACCATAAAGTTAAACAGTAGCCAAAAAATGACAACCTTGAAGGAATCATTAAAATACATGAGACAAAGTATCCATAGTTTAGAAGCAACTCCTATAAATCAATCGTAAGAAAACAAGTGTGTCATTTGTGATGAGGGGGCTTCACAGCTATGAACTGCCAGTTCACAGGTGAAGAATCTGGAATGGCCAAAAGACATTAAAAAAAAAAAAAAAACTTCACCTTTTTGGAATAAAAAAAATGCAAGTTAAAATAACAAGGATGTACTAGACTAAAAAAAAATTATAAACTGGTTAAGTATTTAGGATAATGAAAACTCATATAATAGGTGGTAGTGGCTGAAGAACAACTTGGCACTATCTAACAAAATAAAAAATACATACGATGATAATTTTCTCTATTTCCAATCCTTGTGCCCCTAATGTCCTCTATGCAAGTTTTCTACATCTCTTGTTAGATTTTATTCCACGGAAACTTTCGTTTCTATCGCTAGTATGAATGCTTTTTGTTTTTTAATTATTTTGGGTACGCAGTAAAATTACTGATTTTTGTCTGTTGATCTTGATTCCAGCAAACTTATATTACAACAGTCACTTATAAACGCAGATGCAAAAAAGCTAAATAAAATACTTGGAAAGCAAATCTAACAGTGTGTTAAATAATGCATCTGCAGATTTTCTTGGATTTTCTATGTAAATAATTATATCACTCACCTATAATGATAGTTGTAGCCTTTCTTATGTTTACACTTCATTTATTTGCCTTTGAATTGGCTCAGTACAGTGTTGACTACCCGGAGTAAAAACAGGCATCCTTGTCTTAAACTGAATTGGTCTAAACCACTCTGCTCTATGTTTCTGGTTGATACCTTTTAACCAGGTTATGAAACTTCTATAGTAGTTTGCTAAGAAGTTTTACCATGTGTAAGTATTACATTTTACCAAAGAAATTGCTGCATCTATTTTGGGTAAATGTGTTATTTGTTTCTCCTTTGGCATATCAATGCAATGAAGATTTTCTAATGTTGAAGCAGTCTTGTATTCATGGGATAAAAATAACTGAATACTATGTAACCTTTCAGGGGAAACCCTGGGGGCTTAGTGGTTAAGAGCTAAAGGTCAGCAGTTGAATCCACCAGGCGCTCCTTGGAAATCCTTCCTATGGAGCAGTTCTGCTCTGTCCTGCAGGGTCACTATGACTCAGATCGACTCAGGGGCAATGGGTATTATGTAACCTTTAACTTATTTAGTAAATAAACACCCTGCTGGATTCAATCCCCTAATACTCTGCTTGGTTTTTTCCTCTCTGCTCATGAGCGATAGGAGTCTATACTTTCTTACTGCCCTGGCCCGGCTTTGCTAACAAGGTGATGCGTGGCACATAAAATAAGTGACAACCATCCCTCTTTCTGGTTTCTGGAACAGTTTATGAGTAATCTGTTCATAAAGTGGAAGGAGGAGGGAAACCCTGAATACCTCACATGCATTAACAAACAAGACCAGAACTCATACTGCAAACTGCATATGACACCAAGACACCTGGCCTGAGTTTCGCTGCTCCTGTGGCGACCGCGGCCGGCAGTGAGCGCGGCCGGCAGTGAGCGCGGCTGGCAGTGAGCACTACCTGTGCCGGGAGCCAGGGTCGGTGCTCCACGGGCTGAATGGCATTTAACCAGCACAGCTCTGAAGGAGGCACAATTACTTCCTCCGTTTCACAGATGAGGAAACTGAGATGCGGAGGGGTTAAATGACCCGCTCAAAGGAGCAGAGCCCACTGACCGCAGTGGCAGGCGTGTCCCTGTGCCCTTCGTCACTGTGCCTCGCTGCCCATTTTCCACTCAGACTGAGAAACAGTGATGGTCAGTGGGCAGCAACAGAGGAGAATGAGAGCAACAGACTTCTGCACAGAGAGGGTGGTGGTTCTTAGTCGTCATCGCATCGATTCCGACTCATGGCGACCCCACGTGTGCAGAGTAGAACTGCTCCATAGGGTTTTCAAGGCTGTGACCTTTCGGAAGCAGATGGCCAGCTCTGCCCTCCGAGGCGCCTCTGGGAGAGTCTGAACTGCCAACCTTTTGGCCAGTAGTCCAGCATTTAACCTTCTGAACTATCCATTTAGCCATAAAAGTATTTTACTTACAGATATGAAAGTCCATTAAAGAACATACACTTGGAAAACAATTAAGTGGTTGTCTCTTGGAAAGGAGAGCTGCTGGTCATCTTAACATAGCTGGCCGTCTCTTTAAACTATTTTCATATAGCCCCCCCCCCCAAAAAAAAAAAAAACCACTGCTGTTGGCTGAATTCCAACTCATACAGACCCTGTACAACAGAGCAGAACTGCCCCAGGGTTTCCAAGGCTGTAAATGTTTGCGGAAGCAGACTGCCACATCCTTCTCCCACAGAATGGCTGGTGGGTTTGAACCGCCAAT